GAGAGAGAGAGAGAGAGAGAGAGAGAGAGAGAGAGAGAGAGAGAGAATAGGATGCCAAATTAAGGGCATCACACGCGCACTGTCAAGGGCCAAGAGCTCCAACGGTTATTTGCATGGATGGAGCTTGCGCACCTTTGTATTGATTCACAAAACAGCTTTAATTTCTCCATGTTTATTTTTTATCAATTTTATTTTTGTCGTTCGAAAACTGTTGACTTGTGTTAGATTTAATGTTGTGATGTTATTAAACTATTAATATATTACAAACACACACCGTCAGCCTTGAGCGGGACAAAGAGGGGCAGCAGGTACATTTGATTTGTTTTAGTGTTTTGTTTTGTTATGAGAGGCTTTGCAAATATGAGTGACTTCTGAGCTCTGATTTAATTTCAGTCAATTTAATAACCTGTCATGTTTACACCAGAATTAATAAATTAGCTGAATTTATGAATGACATTGTTTCTGTCGGGGATCCAGAGGCTATGAGGTGAAAAGGCCCTGTACGCTAAATGAAAGATTACATCAGTGCGTCTGGCGCGAGGCGATATAGACACTGATAAGCATCGCGAGTCAGTCTATTGGCAGACCGTTTTGTTTTTGAATGACACAAAATACGAACTGCTACTTCGGGGTTTTTTTCTACACTAGAAGAAAAAGCAGATTTGTTTCTCCCGCCTATATGGTTCTCATTTTAATCATTCTAGGAAATCCACGTCAGGTTTCACGCGCTCGACAAGCAGAATTTGACGCCCTCGTTTTGTTCTAAGAAGCCGAGTTGGTTCACATGCTGACTGAATAACAGAAGCAGCTTTTTCTTGAAAAGACTTTAGAAAGGTGACAAATGACTCACGGGGGTAAGGACAGTAATATAAAGGCTCGTTAGCCTGGTTTCAACATGTATATAAAAGAGCTTCTAACCTGTAATATATATATGTATCACTATTATACAGCATGACTCGCGCCTGTTGTAATCAGTGACTGGACATCTTCATTGTTGTATACACAGCGTTACAATCTCTTTATTCTTTATTTCATTCTTTATATAAATCCTTTCAGTTGTATTTTCGCCATTTTATTTATTTTTATTTTTACTTCTTATTTTGACTATCAAGATGAAAGGCTATAGTGGCTTATGATTTGGACAGTTTAAAAAAAATGGCACCCAGATAACAAAGCTTTTGATGCCTTAGTGAAATAGTAACACACACACACACACACGCACACACACGCACACACACACACACACACACACACACACACACACACACACTTCATTATTAACATGGTAAAATGGTTTCTCTTGTCCCTGCTCTTGTTTCTAAAAAGCATTTACATGTGCTGCTATTTAAAAACAAATATAACAAAACCTTTATTTTATTTTTGTATTATCTCGTTTTTCTAAGCTTGGAGTAGTAGTAGGCTGGTGGTGTTTTATTACTATTATAATGTATTATTGTTGTGTGATTTTAATCTCCCTGACCTCTGATTCATCAGCTGACGGAAGGGAATTATTATTTATGAGGAAAAACAATGATTGTAATTGCTGATGGGGTCACACACAGGAAGTTGGGAGGGGGGACAAAGTAAACACACACACACACACACACACACACACACACACACACACAGACGTTATCTAAAACATTTCATCCTCCACACTGGCAATGGAATAATCCGTTCGTGTCTTAACTTCTCTGCCTCGATGTAGAGAAAGAAACTGTGCCATGTCAGATTTTAATCAGAGCCGTCTGACATAATCACATATCTCTGTCATCAAAAGCCGAACTGGCCCCTCGCCGGCTTTTGTGAATCAACCTTTTACGCACAACAAGCGCTGCTATTTGTAGGCCATTAACTTAAAAAAATAGACCAACGCAGGGGGCTCGTTCTCGAAAAAGGAAAGTGAAGAAGCCACTATTTCTCCCTCCGTGAAGACAGGTTTTTTTTTTTTGGGGGGGGGGGGGGATTATAAATGACAACTTTCTTTTTCTTTTAAGCGAGCCATGTCTTATTCCGGTGCTGAATAAGCTCCAGCGTTATTGACACCGAGGCTTGGGAATCGAGTCATGGGATGGCTTCCATTCTCTAAGCGTGGATACATCCAGTCAAGAAACAAAAAGAAAAATACAAAAAAAAAAACATAATCGGGATTTTAGGCTACATTCACCGTCATGTGTTGCCTCTGAGCACCTATAACGGGCACTTTGTGGATAATGGCTGCGAGAGACTTTTCAAGAGGATAATTACACGAGTCCGCTGACAGCTTGACAATGGAAGCTACAGCAGTTTGCATCCAAGTTCAGTCTCAGGTTTTTCCTGAGTGCGGAACGCCCCCCCCCTCCCCCTCCTTCCCTCTCTCTCCAGGTAGGTCTATCCTGGAGAAGGGAAAATAACGACGCTTTGCCAAGTCTCGCTCAGCCTGTGCTCCCACGCGCCCGGCTGAGAACAGCCTCGATATCAAAAGAAAGGGGGCGGGGCACATTGGGAATTAGTCGAATAAAACACAAACTGGAGTCGTCACCTGAGCGCGCGGCCTTGTGTTTAAAATGATTAAAATGCAATCTTTATCTGACTATTTTTATGCCTGTTGGTGCGGAGGCATCAACCCCCACATTGAACAGACCCTACCTGATGTTTCCGTCACGGTATACTGCTGCTGCTGATACCTACGTGGTGCAAGGGCGTGCGCGCTCCCGCTGCCTGTATACCAACCGGCGCGCCGCGGAGGGGGTTCATTTCCTGACTTTTTTTTTTTTTTTTACACACCGCGGTGACGTCACATCCAGTGGCGTCTCCGCGGCTGCCCCCACCATACACACACACACACACACACACACGCACACTCTACTATCACACACTGCCAATCTGTCGGAATATGGAGAAGCCAAACTGGATCTTTCAGACATAAAATAAATATCATGTTACATTTAATGCACTGTTTTGAATAAATAATGACATGAGCCATTGTTGCTTGTCAGTCTGAGAGGAGGTTATTGCACAGATATTGATGAGTTAACTGACGGACAGTAAAGGCCTACATTAGGTTTTTTTCTAATTATTATTTATTTTTTGAGGAGGCTCAGTTTCTCAGGCGTCCTTGTCCGCGCGCCCGCTTCACGGTGAGGAGATCGGCTCAACTCGGATCTCCCATTAGAATAATGCGCCTGTCACCGCGAGAGGACGCACTGTCACAGATTTTAAGAGCCTATAAACGTCCTGCAACCTGCCATTGGCCCGGAGCAACAGGCTCTGCTGCAGCCTCTTTCTTTTCTCTCTACGGCAGACTTTAAGAGCCAAAATTCATTAATATTTTTACTGCTTTTATTTTAATTTATTGGCTCAGATGCTTTTTATGAGGTGTGGATGTTTAATTGTATTTTTTGACATGCATAACTTGGGTGTAAAGTTTTATGAAGCCGAAGTAAAAAAAAGTATCTCCATTTTAATTATATATATATATATATATATATATATATATATATATATATATTGGCAAGGTCATTGCAAAAATAAATAAATCTTGCAGCACTTCTGCATCCCTCCTGGCTCACGTTATATTCAATTAGGGCAGGCCCCTCCCCTTAACTGATGACACTGACAGACCCTCCTTAAGTTGCGTCGCGCCACAGCTGTCTGCAAGCATTGAGCTGCCTGGCGCCATCCTGAAAGAATGCCTTCACTGTAAAAAAAAAAAAAAGAGAGGAAAAAAAGGGGGAGCTGTAGAGAGAGAGAGAGAGAGAGAGAGAGAGAGAGAGAGAGAGAGAGAGAGCACAAGGTAAAGCAAGGTTGAGCGAGCAGCAGCCACACAGACGAGAGAGAGAGAGAGAGGGGAGCGGAGTTAATGGAGAGGCTACAACTGCACACAAACAGAGATTTGATCAGTGACTTTAACTCGCTGGTGCTGGTCAGTGTGCAGTGAAGCCGCCCGCTGCAAACGAGCCCTGCGCCCGCACAGAAACCCTGCATACTTGTTGAGCCGGGCTGAAAGACATTGTGTTTTTTTTTGTTTGTTTTTTTCCGTAAGAGGAAGAAGTTCGTGGGACTGGATTCCATTTTGGACGTATTTATATGACAAATATTTTTTTGTTGCATTTGCAATGTGGGGTATGTTTCGTGTTTAAATATCTTTTTTTTTTGTTGTTGTTAAAAATGAAACTCGGGTGAATTAATTTAAGTCTGTTTTATTCGTGCTGCGTGTGAACAATTTTGAGAAAATAAGACTAAATGCTCCTCTCTGTCTCCAGGTGATCGGAAGCAAGCGCGGAACCTGTGGATTTAACCCCCCAAGAAAGGAAACACGGATTTGGGACTGATTCTTTCTTATCTTGACTTGTACCAGTTTGCTTCGCCGCGCATGAACATTTACTAAAGAGAAAAAAAGAAGAAAAATAAAAAAGCAAAGCGATGGAAGTAAGTGCGGACCAGCCACGATGGATGAGCCATCATCCCGCGGTGTTGAACGAGCAGCATCCCGGCTCACATCACCCGGGCCTCGGCCACTCATACATGGACCCTTCGCAGTATCAGCTCGCTGACGATGTGGATGTACTGTTTAATATCGACGCACAGGGGAACCACGTCTCTCCGTACTATGGAAACTCTGTCCGAGCCGTCCAGAGGTACCCTCCTCCTCCACACAGTAAGTAAACGGCCTCTTTAGGCCTTTTATTTAATAATGTGCACATTATCCGGGTTGGATCCCTGTACGTAATGGACCCCCCTCCCCGCATGAGATACTCAATTACTGTCACCGCGTTCGGAATTATTTGTATTATCTGACTGGGATCCAGACCGGGTTTCGGTTTTGGCTTGAGCTGACTTCGTCTTAAAAAACCTGAGAGCGTAAAGTGTCGTGAAACCACGCCGTGAATACGGATGGTTTACCTCCAGTTTGTCTTTGGTTTCTGTCCTCCGCTTATGTGACATTCTGAACTTCACAAACACGAACAAAAATGCTACATTGAGCTGTCAGACGGTTTTCAAACAGCCCGTGCGTAATTTGTTTTTTTCTCCCCCAAAACCAATCGATTTATGAGTTAAACAAATAGACGTGTTGGCACAGACATATTTAAAAAAAATGAGAATATTTTGGGAACGTTCGGTAGCATGTTTTGACTTCAGAGCGCGTGCACAATATTTATCTTCATCATAATGTGTGCCATTCATAGGCACGCAGTCATTTGTGGAGTTCCCTTTATTGTAGACTTTAACTTCCTCAGCCGTCAATCACGACGCTGTTTGTTCTGAGGCTTTCTGAATTACAAGTATTCAGTCGCATGAATGCCTGTTTAGTGGAGAAGGCAAAAAAGGGGCAGAATCGTGCACGTACGTGGCCACACGAAACTCGTTTTCTCTGCATGAGGGGATCCGATGATTTCTAGACGGCAGCAGAATCTCGATGGAAAATATTTTTTTGAAAGAGCAGCTGGAGGCAAATTAAATCGCTGTGTTGCATATAATAAAATGTAAACGTGTTTGGTAAATCAGTGCGTAAATGTGTGCTCATGTTTCATCTTTCAGTGTGTGTTCAGGCCTACAGCTATGGCAGTGTTTTTATGGTGGCTGCGGACTGAGGTCAGGTTGTTGATGGTTTCTTGTGTTTCTGTGCTGCCCCAGGTAGCCAGGTGTGCCGTCCCTCGTTACTGCACGGCTCTCTGCCCTGGCTGGAGGGGAGCAAAGGCATCGCCCCGCACCACAGCACTTCTCCCTGGAACCTGAGCCCCTTCCCCAAGAACCCCCTGCACCACGGCTCCCCGACCAGCCTGTCCGTCTACCCCCCGGCCTCCTCCTCCTCCCTGTCCACCGGTCACTCCAGTCCGCACCTCTTCACGTTTCCCCCGACCCCGCCGAAAGACGTGTCCCCGGACCCCGGCATATCCACCCCGGGGACCAGCTCCGGGCGGCAGGAGGATAAAGAGTGCATAAAGTACCAGGTGACCCTGGCCGAGAGTATGAAACTGGAGTCTGCTCACAGCCGGAGCGTGGCATCAATCGGAGCAGGGTCATCCTCTGCCCACCACCACCACCACCACCCCATCGCCACATACCCATCCTATGTCCCCGAATACGGCCCAGGCCTCTTCCCACCAAGTAGCCTGATAGGTGGGTCATCTTCTAGTTATGGTTCCAAAACAAGACCAAAAGCAAGGTCCTGTTCAGGTAGGCTGCGCTTTATTACATTCCCTTTTGATCTAACATTATTCCCCAGATTTGCAGCCTTAATGATCAGCCATGTTTAATCTCATACTAAAAAAAAAAATTCCCATGAGCAGCTCATTCATCCCTCTCATGAACAAGCTCTTTTTGTTGGAGCTAAAGGCCACAGGTCGACCTGTACTCTAAACAGGCGCATTAACATGCCTCAAAGCTCTTTATTTCATCGTCTGATAATAATTATAGATATAATAATAAAACATATTTTTTTAAATAACAAAATTATTTAAAGATATTAATACATAATAACAACAATATTAATAATAAAAATATGAATCGGCTTTAAATTAAACATTCAAATAAATAAATGTATTTATAAACAAATTAAATACATTGAGTAAAAAATAGAAGAATACAACTATTTAATTCTCAGACTTCATTGGATATTTTCCCTCAACTAAAATAAAATCCTCAACAGAGTTCAGAGTTGAAAGCTTTAGATTAATTTAGGTCGTTTTTTCTCCTCTTCCTCTACTAACACACACACACACACACACACACACACACACACACACACAGAGAGAGAGGCAGAGGGGAAGCCAGCTCTCTGGGCTGTGTCGCCCCGTTTATATGTTTAAGATAATCCCATTACTGTCAGACCAGTGCGCGCCACAGTTGCATTGTTTACCCAGCGGTAGAGCACCGGATGCTGCTCGTTCATTCACAGGGAAAAGAGCGGGTGAGCCGCCGCCGTGGCAGAGTGCACGAACCGCGGAGGGAGGGGAGGGAAAGAGGGAGAGAGCGAGTGTGGGGAGATATTTTCTAAATTGTGAGCGCGGGGGTAATTATTTTAAAGGTTGCTGAAAAGCAGTTTTTCTTGTAATGAGATTAATATCAGCGGCTATAGAAAACAGTGGATTAGTTGATGCATATCATCGGGATTATTCAACATCACACACTTAATGCAAATAAAGATTTTTAATTCGAGGATAATGTGAGATAATATGCGTTTTAAGATATTTCCCGATCTGATGAGTATTTCCCGTTTTTTACGAGGTTACCAGTGCGCAGTGCGCGTGGTGTGAACTTCATTTCTCTGGAAACCTAAACGCACCGTGTGCAACACACAGAATCTGCATCGCGGCCTGTTTTTACTCCAGCACTGCACAATCCCTGTTTGATGTCAGCACAGAAAAGATTTTTGAAAGACACACACTTCAACTTCACACTCGTCAAGGAGACTTCATGTCTGTCACGTCAAAACGCGGCACAACCCGGACTGATGCATCTCTCTCTCTCGGTGTGAAGAAGTCGAGCTTTATGTTTTTGCATCTCGCAGAAAAAAAGGGGAAGTGCGGCTGCATGAAAATGCAAAATGCTCTCGGCGTTGCACAAACAAAAATCCCTGTGTGAGTCTCTGCTTTCAAATAATCCGACTGTGGCTGCAGCGCCTTTGTTTCAGTTTCAGGCCCGTTCATTATCAAACTGTTAGTGCGCGTCTCACCTGTCGGTGTCACTAGAGAAGAGCCAGTCAAACATGAACACCATCTCAATCAGCCCAAAACAAAGGACACAGCCTGTTAAAAGACATAATATACATACACTATCATTAATAATAACTATTATTATTATCAAAATGAGAGATTGGCTGATGAAAGAAAGAAGGCCTGATCTATTCGATGTTTTTATTTTTTTTCTCAAGGACCAAAGTGCATTTTGCTTCTTCTGAGAATCCTGTCACAGGACACGTATAGTTGAAGATTTTGTGAGATATTGAAAATAAAATCGACCTTATGGACCTCAACACAACTGCTGTGTTCACCACCAACACTTCACGTGTGTGTACTGTGTGTGTGTGTGTGTGTGTGTGTGTGTGTGTTGTAAATAAAATAACTGCTGCAGTAGAAGTCATTTGCAATGTTACATTATTGTAAATGATGTTGATGCTTTTATTTCATGTTTTATAAGAAAAATAAATGCCACAACCTTTTCTGTTTTCAACATAATTTACATGCATCAACAATTATTTTTAAGGACCAACTGACCTGGGCACTGTCTCCATGTTCTGTGCGTGTGTTTGTGCGTGTGCGTGTGTTGGCTCTTGCAGAAGGTAGAGAGTGTGTGAACTGCGGGGCCACGTCAACTCCGCTGTGGAGGCGGGACGGTACGGGTCACTATCTGTGTAACGCCTGCGGACTCTATCACAAGATGAACGGGCAGAACCGCCCTCTCATCAAACCCAAGCGGCGGCTGGTACGTCTCCACCACATTTCTCTATTGATGACATTTCCGTCTCTCTCTCTGTTTTTCCCCTATCCAGGAAGAAGTAGGCCTATTAGCTGCAGGAAATTGACTCGACAAGTGCAGGTCTCTGTTTTCAGATACTACCATAGAAAAAAACTGCACAGTTTTTTTTTTTTTTTTAATAAATGCAATGACGATGCTATTTTTTTATTTGCTAAAATTGTCATTGATTCACAGTATTCTGTTTAAACAATAGGCCTATGTGTGTATTTTGGAGATGCATTGCCTCCGTTAAAGAGTTGTGGCTGCCGGCCTGCATTAATAAAAATACAACGCACAATGAGCTCCATCATATGAACATTATTTTGACATTCTAGTATTTAGGACACATTTGTTGCAATTCTTACGATTGCTTCAGGTGGAGCTTTTTTTTTTTACAGTTATTTTTAGAGAAAGCCCCCCTCGCGAGCTTTAGAGGAGTTCCCCCCCCCCATGCCTTCTTATGAAAAAGAGAAATATAAAAAACATCTCTTGAGGCAAAGATGGCCGTCCAGTCCAGCTCTGGACCTTTTTCTCTCCTCCACCTCGCCTCTAATGTGAAAACCTGACTTCCCAGGAAAGGGCTGCCGGATGTCTGAGCAGCGTAGATAAGTCGCTTTTAACAACACCCGCTTCCCCATTCAAAACAGAGGAGCTGCGGAGTCCGAACCAGGCCAGCACAGAGTCACGACTTGAGATTGTTTAGTGTTAGAATCTCTCCTTAAAATACGCGGGTCAGGTGGGTAATTGCCACGCAACATTTGACCTGGTCGTTTTTTATTTATAGAGGGCAAAAAAAACGTTATTTATAGAGGCCAGACCAAAGACATCAGAGGAGGATTTAGGACCATTTGTGTAATAATTAATCACACCGACCAACTGATATCTTGTCTGCTCATATTTAACGTTTTAATGGCAGATGAATTGAAGTTATTTAAGGATTTGGTGAATTGGCATAATCAAAAAAAAAATCAAGAGGGTGAAAGAAGAAAATACAATGAAAGTAAATATCAGAAGCAGACACAAAACACATCATATATGGACTTAAAGAGGCTTATTCCTCCAATCTGATTGGTTATTCGCAGCACACAGCAGCCGCAGCAGCAGGGGTTATTAGGCCACCACGTGTGTATAATTGGAAATCCCTCCCCGAGATAATGTAGTCCCTTTACGTTACGTGTGTCCTTTGCGGTCACCTGTCTATTGATTGTTTTTTAGAGATTATAACATCAATGTCAAGCCACTGCAGCGAGCTGGGCCGCGAGACAGGCAGCTAAATCCATGGGAAGACATGACTTTCACTGCGTGGTAGCCTGCAGCGGAGCTAAAAATATCCACCTTTTTTTCTTTTTCCATTATTATGCTTTTAATTGGCGTGCAATTATATGCTCATATGGTTCATTTCACTGCATGATGTATTCATATTTTCTACCCACAATGTCCCGTGTTTGAATCTATATGTTCAGGCCCTTCCTCTTCACTTCTATTGTTTAACGTCACGAGGTCGACGTTTAAAACAAGCCCTCGTGACACAAAGACGAACTTTAAGGGGAGGGGGGGATTTAATCAGATTTAATAGCTCTCCCATTTCAAGCCACTGCTCTTTATGTCTTCTGTAAATATTTATTCTCCTGGAGGTATGTGCTCTATTTTTAGCCTCGAGTGAAAGCAGCTCTGTTTTTGCTATTTCTGTCTTTATTTGAAACTATTTTTTTTAGCTTGCACTGAATGCAGAATATGAATTCCTATGGGTGGACATTAAGAGTGTATGCACAGTCACAATAAAGCCTTTATTGACCAGCAAGGGTTTTAAATAGCTTTACATGATGCACATGAGTGAAAATAAAGAATGCTTTTAATCTGCAATGAAAGAAAATAAATACTTTCTTTATTGCATTTATAGAGATGTAAGGCGCCATGTATACAGGGCTGCCATGACACAAAGACACCCTAAAAGACCAAATGTATCTTGATGTATTTAACCTCCTGAGCTATATCCTAACTCAGAGCCCCGGAAGTAGCTACATTTCCAAATAAAACGCTCAATTTCCATCTGCATTTCAGTGCTTTCTAAAAGAAATGACACCCCTGAAACTCGGCGTTAAACGTGTCAGAATGAAGCTGCTTGTTGATTGGGTCATTACGTGGTCATGTGACGTTCTTTGGCCTCTCTCTCCCTCCTTGTGTGTTGTGTCATGCAGTCCGCGGCCAGACGGGCGGGGACGTCGTGTGCAAACTGCCAGACGACAACGACGACGCTGTGGCGGAGAAACGCCAACGGGGACCCGGTGTGTAACGCCTGCGGCCTGTACTACAAACTGCACAATGTAAGTAATAAAGCTTCCATAGGAAGTCATACTGACAAGTCAGCGCGCGCACCGCTTCAGCTCCATCGTCTTTCTCATCACGTCCTGCCGGTCACCTTTCCCCCTTCCTCCCCCTCCTCCTCCTCCTCCTCCTCCTCTTCCTCTGAATATTTGATCGGATGCGTCCCTGCAGAGACTTTCGGGGCACGGCGATAACAAATACTGTATAATTAATATGATTTATTGGCAGTAAGTGCGAATCTAAAATGTATAAGACCGAAGTGAACTAAGCCCGCAGCCGCCTTGCTTTTGAATATTAAAGAAGTGGGGGGGGGCTTAATTAAAATTCGATTAATTTCCAGGCCGATTTTTTTTTTTCTTCTTATTTCTAGCCTTTTGGTTCCACGCGCGCCAGGGACTCTGAGTCCCCCCCTCTGACCACCAATCCGCCTGATTCGTTTTGGGGTTTGGTTAGCGCCTCACCACATCATTTCACATCCACAATCTGAAAACCCCAGGGACTCGTTTATCTCTCTCTCTCTCTCTCTCTCTCTCTCTCTCTCTCTCTCT